AGGGATCTTCAAAATGTACCTGGAAAGATTCCTATTATCTTTTAATTCTATTTTCCATGAACTTTTGAAGTACCCTCATATATTTTATAAGCATACAAAAAAAAAAAAAAAAAACTTCAGTGAATTGTTGCCTCTGTAGTACACACTTTTAAGAAGTGATAACATAAACTTATTCAAATGCTGCCCATGGTCAAGGCATTTTTGGAACTACCTTTGGTTCATTCTATTATTGCTGGTTGCAACTTGGCAGCATTTTTCAGTGATTTTACATAGGAATAATATAGGTGGTAGTTTGTATAATGCCATTTTTTAGTCAAAAATAGCACAAAATTCATTTTGCCAACTGGAATATGGTCAAAGTAAAATAGCCAATCACTCAGCTCTAGTTACTCTTCAGTCCCTGTGAAGATTCCTTCCAGTACTCCACAATTTCTATATAGTAAGTTGCTAGACACTGCCAGATCAATTTGGCATTAGTAATATTATTGATGAAAAACAATCAATCATCTGTCATTTTTATATACACACTTTATATACACTAGACCAGGGGTTGGCAACCTATGGCCTATAGGCCAAATCTGGCCTACCACCTGTTTTTCTATGATCTGCAAGCTAAAAATGTTCTTTTACTTTCTTTTTTTTTTTTTTTTTGCTGGCTGGCCGGTCTGGGGATCCGAATACATTTTTAAGTGGTTGAAAAAAAAATCAAAATGATATTTTGTGAAAACCATATGAAATTCAAATTCCAGTATCTATTTATAAAGTTTTGTTGGAACACAGCCATGCTCGTGTTTCCATATTAGCTACGTCTGCTTTTGCACTAAAATGTTGAGGAGTTGCAACAGAGACCATATGGCCCACATAGCCTAACACATTTCCTTTACAGAAGTCTACTGACCCCTGCACTAGACCCAAGTGGGTCCTTGGAGGTACTGAAGCTCTCCACTACAGATTTTTCATTTCTGGACATTAATACTGGGAGAAGGGTGATGCAAGCAGGTCAGTGTTTGCATGGATCTGATAAGACAGAGACTAGAGAACATAAATACACAAGCATATTTTTTACATCCCTCAGATGGGATGTAAAACACCTGGTAAAACCTGGGAGGTCTGATACAATTGAAGCAGAAATTGGAGAACACAGGGTGACATATACGGTTCAGCAGCAAAGGCAGGCTCATACTAATTAAGCCATATGAGACCCTGGTGAGACCCAATCCCAAGAAGCCTGGTGAAACTTGCTGGAGATGCTGTCTGCAAACAGCAGGCAAGCTGAGCAGTGTAGGTGATGCAGTGATAGGTCTCGAGTAGTACCCCATTCTTTTATTAGGTGCCCTCAAGTCATTTAGCATTGGGATTTATCCAGGCATCTCCAATGGCAAGTCTGGACTTGACTAAGAAATGGATCTGAAAGGAAGGCTCTGGAAAGTATGCTCCAGGTACACGTTCTTTCCAAACGATAACATTTCAAACATTTCAAAAAATGGTATCATCTCAAAGCTTAGGGCTGAATTCAGAAGACTGCAGAACCATCCACATATTTCTCTAAGTAAAATATTTGGTGAACATTTTATTCTTTCTCTTTTTGATCATTACTAGTGGGACAGCAATGTGGGGTGGGGTGATGGGGGGGAAGAACAGCCTGAAAGCCAGAGATTCATTGATTGATTGTGTTAAGCTTAAGAATTATGGTCAAGTTTTGCAGATGGCCAGCTCTCCTCCTGACGTACCACAGCCAGACTTGATCTCCTGTGGTTAGGTGGAGCTTCTCCTGTTAGGGAAATAAGTTGCTGGGAGAATGGGATTTGAATGTTATAGTTCTGAAAATGTTTCATGACTCTTGGTACTCGAGGTAACCAAATTGACTCACTGAGAAACCAGTAACACTGGTTGACTCTGGGGAGTGCAACTGATGGTGGCCAAGGGTGGGAGAGAACTTTTTCCCCTCCTTGTATGTCCCTTATAAAAAACACAAATTATTCCTCATGTCACCTCACTCCACATCTTGAGGATAGGAAGGCAACCTGGGGCCTGGGCTGGAATAGATCATTTCCTTACTCAGTGTCTGAAGTGGGGAGCTGGAAGAGGCATCCACAAATCAGAGGAGAGAAAAGTTGTGAGTTGAGTGGAAAACCATAACCAAAAGGGCGATTCGAGAATCAGCACATCAAAGTGGTGAAAAGCAGCTACTGGAAGTGTGATGCAGAACCAAAAAACAAAGCAGCAGGGAAACAGAGGAGCAAGAGCAAACTGGTGGAGAATAAATGGAGAGGTGACTGGGAAGAGCCAAGGACAAGAACCTGGGGTGTGACTCATAGCTGGATCTGTGACTATAGGTCCTTGAGCTCAAGAGGCCTGGGCAGCAAGGTCCAAGCCAGGGAAAAACTCACATTGGCAATAAAACGGATTTGGTGGGTGGGCACATAAGAAATACTGTTATGTAAGAACTCTCCTGTTTGGGGATATTCCTAGATTATGCTCTAGCCTTGGGTTTAGTGATTCTGAGTGAATGGTTTGCTCTGGATGAGTGTTAGGGTAGTAATTTTACTTCCCCCAAATCTGAGGCATCCTATCATCACTGAATATTTCCTGGGAAGCCTTGCTAACAGGCAATGGGTTCAGATGGTGGTCTGACCTACTTACTCAAACTACTATGATCTAAGGTAATAAATTAAGTACTTTTCTTTATAACCACCTGGAACAATTTGAATTCACACTCCTGATTATCTGCTTCTGGTTGCTCTGTGTCCAAACCCTGTCTGGGCCAGCACTGCTTCTAGCACCCTACATGGCATGGGTCTTGGTCCAGCATCATTGGCAGGGTCACTCAAGCCCTGTTTGCAAGACTGAAATAAAATCCAGAAATAAGTTCTCTCAGGACCTCTGTGTTATAATGGGTTGGAGATAAAGTCTGTAGGTATTGTTGTGGGATCCCAACCTGGGCCCAGTAGCATACAAATCTGCTGCAGTTACCACTGGGCCTGAACAGATTAATATGAGGTTTAGCAATAAAGTTGCAATAGCTAGCTAGCACTTCAGGCTTTGTTCCTGAAGTGCTGTGTTCCTATTGGCAAGTGTTTATGGTCAGCCCAGGGCCCTGTCTGATGTAGGAAGATTTAATAGTTCTGAAATGGAATGTCTAGAAATTACTAAGTAGGTAGAAGTCTAGAAGCTGTTGCTTGGTTTAAGAGTTTTCCTATACAATATCTTTTCTTTGTGGGACAAGGTCTAGCTTACAAGCTGCTTCAAAACTGAAAGGTGGGGCCAGCCCAGTGGCGCACTCGGTAGAGTGCAGCGCTTGGGAGCATGGCGGCGCTCCCACCGAGGGTTCGGATCCCATATAGAGACCGGTCCACTCACTGGTTGAGCGCGGTGCGGGCGCGACACCGAGGGTTGCGATCCCGTTACCGGTCACGAAAAAAGACAAAAAGGAAAAAACAAACAAACAAACGAAAAAACTGAAAGGTGTTACTGGGGAACCTGTAATTTTTTGAAGGGGTAGAGACAGTGAAAGAACAAAACTAAAAGAAGTTGTTGAATAAATAAGTGCTGGGTCTCTACTATCAACCAGTATCATTTACTTCCTTACTAGTTAAATAAGAGGAGCAGTTATATGTAAAACTTTTGGGTAAAACACACAGATACTGACCAATACTGTGAAATGTTGTTACCACCTCCCCAATTCCCTACATCCCCACCAGACCTTCTGAGATGTTTCTAGTCTATGTGGTATTACTTGGAACACACGGGAAAAGTTCCATTCCATAAATACTAGCAGAGAGGCAGGAATAGAACAGACAGAATTTGAACTTGTAGACACTGCTTTTGGGGGTCCAGCTGGAAAATTATATAATCAAATAAGTAGGTTATTAAAAACCTACACATAAGATTCAGGGGAAGCAATTTATAAACTACTCGTATAAAATTGGGGGCAAAAGAAAGGAAGCAAATTATCCCAAATTGTTCATCTTCTGTAACACCGTTATCATCCCCTTTAGACTTTGCTATTTTAGCCAACAGTGTCATCATTTTCTATTGACACAGGTTCGAGGCTTTATGTTGTTCCACTTGCCTGGGAAGCTTTTCCTAATTTCATAGCCTTTGTCTCACCCTTCCTCATGGATTCAGTTCAAGAACCACCTCATCCATGAAGCCCATCAGCCCTTAGTGATCTTGTTTCATAATTTCACACTGTCAATGCCCAGTAGTGTTCTAAAAACAGCAGGTGCTCAAAACACAGCTGACAATATTGGCATCAGTTATTAAAAACAGGCTGCTGTGTGGGAATCAGCACGTAGACAGCAGCCTCCCTTAATCCAGGGTCTAGAACACTACCTAGTCTTCCTGCTCACACATGATAGACTAGGCCCGTGTCCCTGGTTTCTCTTTTCTAGGATCAGATCCTCATTTCCAGCATAGCGGATACCCAAAAGAGTGGGAATCCAAAGCACAGGACTGGAATGAAACAAACCTAGCTCTTCTGTGAGGGTAGGTCTGTGAGAAGATTAGTATTGGTGGCCAACCCCTAAGTTCTGAGGGGCTCCCACTGAGTCATTTGGGCCAGATCAACCCTTAGGCCCGGCTTTGCTCAATACGTCAGCACACCACTGCTTTCTGTACCATAACTCAGGCCCTGACTGCGAAGCATGCTGAAACTATAAGCCTTTTGGGGTCCTCCCAGAAAAGCATGCCTCCCTGGGCTCAGAGACACAGACTGCTCCTGTTCCCACTTCTCACTGGCATGATCCCCTGAGGCAGAGTGTTGAGAACAAGGAACAGGACAGCCACCAAAAGCTAAGGTCTGGTGGGTGAAAGTGATCCAAACTTGTTAAGCAAAAGAAATCAAGAACAAGCAAGTATGAGAAGTCAACAGCCAAAAGTTCTTCAAAGGTGTGGAGGACAGCAAGGAAGATGGCCTAATAGTCCAGCAAAGAATAACTGGGAGAGCCATGACCCATAGGTAGGAGTGTTAGTGAAGACGGAAGATAGATGAGCAGCAAAAGATGTTGTCTAACAGTGAGGCAGCTTCCTAGTTCAGGTTCAGCTATCTCACTTTCCTTTCACCAGGGTGTGACCCAATCGTGGGCTACCCTGGTGGGAGGGCTTGTTGAAGATGAAGTCTGCAGAAGCTGGCTGGCAGGGCAGTGGATTCTGGGATGGGACACAGGCAGAAGCATTTCCCCACCAGCTTCACCCTGGAGATGACTCCATGTTTCAGAAGTTGGTACTTTTTTCCTCACACATAAGCTATTTTTCCTAGTTTCTTTTGAAAGAACAGACCGAAAGTCAAGTTTTCGAGGTTTAGATTCATCTTTCAAAATGCCTGATATAACTTTTCCAGAAACTTTCCTCATGTTCAAGTTTTCTTTCAGAATTAGTCTAACAGTTTCTTTATCTAAATTTAATTCTTCAGCCATCATTCTCACTGTTAACTGCCTGTTTGAACAAACCAAGTCCTTGACCTTCCGGATATTCTCATCCGTCCGGTGAGTGACTGGACGACCACTTCGGGCATCATCTCGAACATCTTCCCGCCCTTCTTTAAACCTTTTGTGCCAGTCAAAAACTCTAGCTCTTGACATGACTTCATCTCCATAAGCTTCTTTTAAAAGATGATGAGTCTCACTTGCAGACTTGTTCAATTTCACACAAAATTTGATACTAATCCTTTGTTCTAAATAGCGGTCACTCATTTTGGCACTAAACACCATAGGAAAGTTAACAGGCCACGACTGTGAGGGGAAGACAGAGGAACCAATCTCTATAGGACTGCAGGCGTAATCATGTCGCTAATCTTGCTCCTCTGAACGTCTCACCATTAAAGATTAATCGCTTTTCTGAGTATTCACCGCTCAGCTTCCAGTCGAAGCTGCGAGGCCCGTTCTGAAAAATCTAGTGGGGCTAAACAGTAGCTGCAAAGCTGGGAAAAATGAAATCTCCTACCACCCACGTCTGCGTCCAATTCATGCACGCAGACCTGCCGAGTTTGCAAATCAGTCACCGAGGTCGTCCCGATTCCGCGGCCCTTAAGAGCCTACGGCGACTTCTGCAATAAAGGTCTAAGTGACAGTAACTTAAGCAAGCAATGACAGATGCATTGGTGGTGTAGCGTGGAAGCTCGCCAAAGGGGCGTGGGGGGAGGCACGGCGCACTGTCTTGGACCCAGGCCTTGGACCGGAGTGGGAATGGGCCGCGAGCCGTGGGCGAGCACGCGGGCGCCCGGGGACTTCGGGGCACGTGCACCGGCAGGGGCTCGGCTCAGAGGGCACCACCCGTAATACGAGGCAACTGGGGCAGCGCGTGGAGGCCGGGTACGATGGGTTCTCGAGTTCGTTAACTTGCTGTGTGACCTCTGGCAAGTCGCTTTCTTCTGTGGGCTTTCGTTTCCTTAGCTGTCAAAAGAGGGACTCTACCGTTGTGTTCACCGGGGCCCTTCCCTCTCCCTGCCACTGCCCCCGGAACAGTGTATCTGTTTGGAGGCCGGGCACCTTTGATTTCAAGTCAACGACTACTCCCTCCTTTTTTCTTGTCATTGTAGGGTTCAAATTCTGGTTCTGACCGTTAGTCATGTCACTTGGTTATTGTGGGGATAATGGTGAGGTACGCGAGAGGGCATGGGAATTGGTATTGAAACCTCTTCCTTGAGGTAACACACACGCTCTGACTTATATTTAGGGAGTGATAGCCTAGAGACTGTGTTTAAAAGGCTTAGAATGTTTTGTTGGTTCATTGATTTAAAATCAATGCCTGTTGTATGCTGAATACTAATATTAGGGGCTGGGAATTCAGAGGTGAATGAAACAGTGTTTCTGCCTGCGGAAAGCTCACAGTCCTTTAGGGGTACAGATAAAGCAACTGGCGATTATAATATAGCATGCTATTTATTAGTTCAATAAATACTTATCGAAGGCGTGCTATTGGTCCATTTCTGTTGGTTATGACAGAATGCCTGAAACTCGGTAATTTATAAAGAAATTTATTTCATACAGTTTCAGAGGCTAGGAAGTCCAAAGCCCAGGAAACACATCTGGTGAGTGCATTTTTTCTTGGTGGTGACTCTATAGTAACGCAGGGTGTCACATGGCAAGAATGGGCTGAGGAAGAGAGAGAACTAAGCTTCTCATTAGCTCTCCTTATAAAGCCATCATAACTACTTCAGGAGGGTACAATCCTCACAATCTAATCACCTCTTAAAGGGCCCACCTGTCAATTACCCTAATAGGATTTCCCACCCTCTTAACACTGTTACAATGGAGATTAAGTTTCCAAAAACACAAACTTTTGGGGGACACATTTAACCCATAGCACCTACTGTGTGCTATGCATTGTTCTGAGCAGTGGGGGGGATACAGATGAAGAAATCAAAATCTTTGCTCTTATGGAGATGACATTCTAATGGGGTGGAATAGACAAATAAAATACACAGGTGTCAGATGATAAATACTATGGAGAAAAATAAAGCAAAGGTTGGAGGGTAAGTAGTAGCAGGGCTGGCACAATTACTATTTTAAATAGGGTGATCGGAGAAGGCATCACTAAGAAGGTGAATTTGAACAAAGACCCCAGAAGTAGGTGAGGGGGTCAGCCCGAAGATATTTTGGGGAAGAGCATTCTAGACTGTGGAAACAGTAAATGCAAAGGCAGGACTTCCAGGAGTCTAGGGACTGCTAGAGCTGGTTTAGGGAAGGAGGGAGAGGGAAAAGATGAGACCAGAAAGGTGTGTGTATGGTAGGGGCAAATTGTGTAGGATATTGTAGGCCATGGAAAGCACTATGGCATTTATTCTGATTGAGACAGGGAGTCGTTGAAGGGTTTAGAGTGGAGACACTTATACTTTAAGAGGGTCACTGGCTGCTTGTTAAGTAGATTGTAGGGAAGTAAAGGTGAGAATGGAAAGACCAGTTAAAAGCTATTGTAATAATCCAAATTAGTAGAGGGTGAGGTGGTAAATTGTTGCATTTGAGATATGGTTTGAAGGTGAAGCCAAAGGATTTGCTAATGGTTTGGATGTACATTGTTAAGAGTAAAAGAGGAGTCAAGGATGACTTCAAGATTTTTGACCTGAGTATTTTCTGAGATAGGAAAGACTGGGAAGAGCAGGTTTGGTGAAGGAATATTAAAAATTTGATTTCAGACATGTGAAGTTTGAGAGGCCTGAAAGACGTTCAAGAATATATGTCCTTCTTCATACCATATACAGAAATGAACTAAAAATGGTCTATACTTATTTAGATCAATGACCTAAATAGAAGAGCTAAAACCATTAAACTCTTAAAACATAGGGATAAATCTTCATGACCTTAAACTTGGCAGCAGATTCTTAAATATGGTACCAAAAATATGGGCAATAAAAGGAAAAATCGATGAATTGAACTTCATCAAAATTAGACTTTGTGTATCAGAGGACATTACCAAGAAAGTGAAAAGAATGGAAGAAAATATTTGCAGATAATACAACTGATAGGGTTCTAGTATATATAAAGAACTCTTACAATTCAACAACAAAAAGATAAACAACCCTATTTAAAAATGGGCAAAGGACTTAATTAGATATTTCTCCAAAGCAGAGATACAGATGGCTAACAAGCACATGAAAAAATGCTCAACATCACTAATCATTAGGGAAGTTCAAATCAAAACCACAAGTGAGTGGCAGTTAGACATAGAATTACCAATGACCCAGCAATTCCATTCCTAGGTATATATCCAAAAGAACTGCAAATTGATACTCAAAAAAATAAATGTACACACGTTGATAGCAGCACTGTTCACAATAGTCAAAAGGTAGAAACATCCCAAATGTCTTATCATCGAATGAATGGATTGACAAAATGTGTATCAATATATTGAAATATTATTCAGCCATTAAAAGGAATGAAGTACCAATATATGCTATAACATGGGTGAACCTTGAAAACATTGTGGTAAGTGAAAGAAGCCAGATACAAAAGATCATACTGTTGGATGATTCTATTTATGTGAAATATTCAGAATAGGTACATCCATAGAGACAGAAAACATATTGGTGGTTGTCAGGGGCTGGGGGTAAGGAGGATGGGGAGCAGCTGATTGATGGGTACAGGGTTTCCTTTTGGGGTGCTGAAAATTTTTTGGAATTAGACAGTAGTGAGGGTTGTATGTATAACATTGTGAATGTACTAATTGCCGCTCAGTTTTTCACTTTACCATGGTTCATTTTGTGTTATGTGAATTTCAACTCAAAAAAAAAAAAAGATGGGCCGGCCCGGTGGCGCACTGCTACAGTGCGCCGCTTGGGAGCGCAGTGGCGCTCCCGCCGAGGGTTCGGATCCCACATACAGACCGGCCGCTCACTGGCTGAGCGAGGGGCGGGGGCAACACCGAGGGTTGCGATCCCGTGGCCGGTCACGAAAAAAGACAAAAAAAAAAGGAAAAAAAAAAAAAAGATGCCTTGAATGGACAGTAGGATATAAAAGTCTGAAATTTGGAGACTTCCAGACTGAAGATTGTAAACATGGGTGTTCTCAGTTTATAGAGGGTATTTAAAGTCATGGTACTGGGTAAGGTTACATATGGAGGGAGCAAAGTAGGTCTGAGCCCTGGGGCGTTCCCAGAGTTTAAAGTTCAGGTAAATGAGGAGGAACTCGCTCAGAAGAGTGAGGAGCAGCTCTTGGCTTCCACTGGAGCAGGGAAGAGGAGCATTTTAGTCTGACCTGGCCTTATTCCATTAAGCATTATCTTCCTTGTACCCAAATTTTAGCTCAAGGGTGTTCTTAGAAGTATACTTCATTTGCATAATGAGGGCACTACTAGTCAGTTCTGGACTACAGGTCATTTGTGTCCATATCTAGTGAATTCTCTTTTCACTACATTCCTTAAGGCAGTGTGGCCTATAGGGGTTTACAGTGACAGATTTGTAAGGAGTTTTTAGATCTAGTGAAATCTCCCTTGAAATATTGGAATTTCCTCAATAATAGTGGCTTTTAACTGTATTTTGGATCATTGTCCCCTTTGAGAACCATAAGATAAGGACCACCACCTGAGAAAAAACATAAACACAATTTTGCATTCCGCCATCAAGGTGTATTTGTGAACACTTTATGGGCCCTGTGCATTCCTGGCAGGTTTTCTGCCTTTGCTAAAACACCTCAAATGATGATGCTCTGCTTTGTGAGGGGACACCTGAAGATTCTGGACAACTTTGGCTGTTTTTTCTTCCTTGTGTTGAGTGGAAATCTGCCTCCTATATTTTATGCTTTGGAGGTTCTAGTTTTGTCTCCAGGGTCACACCGAGCAGGTCTGCACCCTTTTCCATGAAAGAGCTTTTTGAATATTTTAAGACCAAGATATGAACTTTTCTTAACTCTTTTATTAAACATCTTTATGGAGGGCCGGCCCGATGGCACACTGCTATAGTGCGCCGCTTGGGAGCGCGGTGGCGCTCCCGCCGAGGGTTTGGATCCCACATACAGACCGGTTCCCGCTCACTGGCTGAGCGAGGGGAGGGCGCAGCACCGAGGGTTGCGATCCCGTTGCCGGTCCCGGTCCGGTACGGGCGTGACACTGAGGGTTGCGGTCCGTTGCCGGACACGAAAAAAAGACAAAAAGGAAAAAAATAAATAAATAAAAATAAACATCTTTATTGAGATACAATTCACATTACCATGCAATTTACCCATTTAAAATGTACAATTCAGTCATTTTTGGTGTATTACATTATTTTAAAAATTTTTTGTAAAATATGTAACAAAATTTTCTATTTTGACCAGTTTTAAGTGTACGGTTCAGTAGTAGTAATTACATTCACAACGTTATGCAACCATCACCACTATCTTATACCAAGACTTTTTCGTTATCCCAAACACACTGTAACGACTAAGCAATAACTTCCCATTTCCCTGCCGCCCCACCTCTAGTAACCTCTAATCCACTTTTAGTCTTTGTAAGTTTGCTT